AATACATGAAATTGTTAGGGGTAAATTTGAAAAAAGATGTGCAAGATGTGCAAATATACGTGTTTTCGTACGCTAAGAACCATAAAATACTTTCAATAGAAATTAGAGAGAACCTAAACAAATGGAGAGATATGCTATGTTCATTGATCAGAAGACTAAATCATTAAGATGTCAGTTCTCCCCAAATTGATCTACAGTTTCAATCTAATCCCAATCAAAATCCATTAGGCCTTTTTTAATAGAAGTTGACAATTTGATTCTAAAATTATATGAAAATCAAAGGACCTAAAATCACCAAAATGACATTGAAGAACAGGTTAAAAGATTTAAATTACCTGATCTCAAGTCTTATTACAAAGCGACAGTAACCAATATAGATTGCTATTGGTGAAGGGACAGACCTATAGATCAACAGAAGTGGAAGTCCAGAAATAAACTGACGCATATAAGATCAACTGATTTTTGACAACGGTATCAAGGCAATTCAATGAGGAAAAGATAATACTTTCAACAAGTGGTATAAAAAAGAACCTGAACTCTTGCTTTATACCATAAAGAAAAACTAACTCAAAATGTATCATAGACCAAAATGTAAAAGCTAAAAAAAAATCTCAAAGAAAACATAGGATAAATTCTTAGTGATCTTGGTTTTGGCAAATATTTTTAAAATAAGATATAAAAAGCAATAGATTTAAAAAGAAAAAAACGATAAATTGTACTTCACAAAAATTAAGTTCCTGCTCTTCAAAAGACACTGTTAAGAAAATGAAAAGGTAAGCCACTGCTAAGGAGAAAACATTTGTAAAACATGTATCCAACAAAGTCTTGTATATGAACTGTATAAAGATCTCTTAAAATTCAATAAGACAAAAAAACCAACAGTAAAAATATTGGAATAAATCCCCAAAGAAGAGATACAGATGGCAAATAAGCACATGAAAATACGTCCAATATCATTATCCATTAGGGAAATGCAAATAAAAACCAGAATAAGATACCACTGCATATTCGCTATGGTGGCTAAAATTAAAAAGACTGACCATACCAAGTACGAGCAAGCATGTGGAACAACTGAAACTCTCATGCACAACTGGTGGGAATGTAAAATGGTACAGTCACTTTGTAAAACAGTTTGGTAGTTTTGTGAAAACTTTAACATATACCTACCACAGGACCCAGATATTCTATTCCTAGGTGTTAACTCAAGAGAAATGGATATATATATCCACACAAACACTTGCATGTGAATGTTCATAATAGCTTTATATGTAATAGCCAAATATGAAAAAACCCAAAGTCTGTCAGCAAGTGAATGGATTTATAAATTTGGTATATCCACATAGTGGAATACTATTCAGCAATAAAAAGGAGCAAACTATCAACAAACACTTCAACATGGATGAAACTCAAAATAATTATGCTGAATAAAACACATCAGACCAAAAAATAAATTCTGTATAATTCCATTTATATAAAATTCTAAAGAATGGAGAATAATCTAAAGCGGCAAAGCAGCTGAGTGGCTGTCTGGGAATAGTTTACCTATTCCCAGTGAAGAAAAAAGGATAGATTACCGATGAACACAAGAAAGCTTGATGATAATGGATGTTCACTATCTTGATTGTGGTGATGGTTTCATGCAATTATACATATGTCAAAACTCAGTAATTTGCACATTTCCAATATGTGCAGTTTACTGAGCATCAATTATATCTCAAAAAAGCTGTAAAACATAAAAAAGCTGTACTTAGTGTAGTAAATTTTCCATAAATATTAGGTATTATTATTAACATATAAAACTTTCAAAACAGAAAAAAGAGGAGGAGGAATCTGGACTACTTATCTGAAGGGGTACACATGATTTAGAAAGTTACCTCCCTGTTAAGGAATGGGGAAGAACTTATCATCAAGGCTTCAAGTTCCTTGAGATGTCAGGAAATCTCTTTGCTCCCCTTCAAGGCATACAGAATCCATTCAGTTGTAAAGATGTTATAACGAACAAAAAAATAAAAACTTAACAAATGTACAATCCGAGTGTTACAATATCAAGAGAAAGGAACCCTAGGAGTCCAACGCAAGTTTGATGAGTTGGAGAATGGCCCAATGTTTCCACAGCACTGGGGATTTTTCTAGTGCTCCAGTGCAATAACATTACTTTCCTCCTATACCTCTTTCTAGATTGGTAGCCTCCTGATCTATCCTTGATCATCTGAGGTACTCAAGGCATTGAGATCATAATTTAATTATTCAAAACTAAGATCTATTGAGTGCTTACTAAGTGGCAGGCATTTACTTACTCCTCATAACAATCCTATGAGCAAACTGAGGCATAGAGGACAGAGTTGCCTGCCCAAAGTCACACAACTAGTAATCTGAAGTCCAACCCAGGTAGTCTGATGCTGAAGTCTGTGTTCTTTACCACAAAACTGTATTATTTTCACATATTAGTTTTTTTTACCTTTACAACATGCTGATGGTGAAACCTACATGTTATCACTAGTTGTTCTTTCCCCTAAGCTGCCTCATGATAATATAAGAATTGAATTAAGCTACAAATGACACGCTTTCAGCTAGAATATGTTTTATAAATTATTACAATTTCTTTAAAAAGTAATTCTATTAGCTTAGAAATCAATAAAATGGAATCCTCCTGCCTTTACTCAGTTTTATGATTAATTTAACACCTCTAAAAGAAAGTGGTTTTACATATTGAAACATTCTTTACAGGAAAAAAAAGCCTATTTGATATTTCAGTGCCCAACATTTCTTTTGAAGGCAAATTCCTTTCCTGCATATAAAATACTAAAAATTAATTTTGCTGCTTCTACTGAAACAAATGAGAAGTTAAATATACATTTCCTGTAATTCACCTTGAAATTAGCCTTCATATCTAGAAAAAAGAGCATAAAACTTTTTGATAATCAATACTACAAAATATGCACTTTCACTTTTGAATGACACATTTAGTCAACTAGTATGACAGATACATATACACACACACACACACACACACACACACGCACACAGAGACACAGAGACTGTCAACCTATTTCCCATGTGAGACATGACTGAATATCTGATATATGCCAGGCATTGTTACACATGGTGGAGATACAGCAGGGAGCAAAACAGACACAAATCTCCACCCTCCTGGCACTTACATTCCAGAGGGGTGAGTCTGACAACAAATACAATGAGAAGAACATACACATATATAGTGTGTCAGAGGATGATAAATCTAATGAGACGAAATAAGGCAGAGGGTTAGGAATGCAGGGACTTGGGGGTTAAGGGAAGTTGAGAAGAGAAGGGTGGCAGTTACTCTTAAATAGTCTTGTCTTCAAAGATCTTTAGTTCAGATCAAACAGAATTATGTGAATGAAATGGGGATGAACAGAAATGTGATTCACCCCTAATAACAAAGGATGCACACAAAAGATGGTGAGGTTTGAGGGTTTAAGAAGTCACTTTAAGGGCAAAAAAGTCAGATTAGTATTCCCTATGTCCAGAAAGGGCTAGATGAATAACCGTGAAGGGAATTACACAGTGTTATTTGGTTTCTTCTTATACTCTCAAGATTCCACCAAAATTAACAACATTCCTACTTCTACCGCCAATTGATATACAGTTCTTAAAATAAGGACACAGTTCAAAACAAAAATCACTATCAAATTCCACATTTGATCAAGGAATGAATATGTACCAAGTGACAATCCCAAAATAAAGTTATAAATATGAAACCAATTCTGTCAGTACAGACTGGCAAAATTAGATAAAATTTTAATATATAATT